AAAAGTTTCATATTACCTATAAAGAAATTAATTCTGGAAATATTAATTTACAAATACAAGCAATAATTAGAGCAATAAATAGTGAAAAAATCTTAAGGCAAGCATATAGAATAATATCAGCAATTGGATATGAATTACCACGAGAATAGGCTGTTTCTAATATGCGGCAACAAATTAATCAACAAATGAAAGAATTAATTCCAATCCATTTAATTGATTTAAATTTATCACAGGAGATTTGTAATGAAAAAGATAATGAAGTAGATACGAATATAATTAATGATCCTGAAATTATTTATGAAATAAATAAATTAATTGAAAAGGGTGTTTACTATTCATTTACTACATATTGTCTTTATAATTGATACTTATTTTTTAACTTGTTTTGAATTAAAAAAACTAAAGTTTTTTTAAATTCAGAAATTGCTTCAGGAGATTGTAGTATTATATTAGCCTGAGAAATATTATAATTAGAATGTACTATAGCTCCATGTTGATTTAGTCTACGCTGATTCTTATAACTTCTTCCTGGGCATAGAGCGCAATATATATATGAGAAACAAATATTAGAAAATTGTTTGTTTTTATGAATTTTGTGTTGGTGTAAAAGTAATCCTTTAATATTTTTAAAGGTTTTATTCGAATACAGTTGACAAGAAACGATTGGTAAACTTTGAATTTTTATTTGTGCTTGCATGTGTTATATATAACAATAACTTATTTTTTTTTACGTAAAAAGCATATAACTTATGGAGTTGTTGGAGTATTTGCACTTCTTTGTATTGATAAGAGATTGGTTTTTGTGTCAGGAGATTGGTTTGACGTCTAGTTCATTATGATGTTTATTATGATGATAAGAATGGTTTGAAGTTATTTGACAGTCAATATCACACAAACATAATAAATTTGATGACTGAATTTAAGATCTAATTCCACTGATCTGCTGATATAAAGTACTATTTATTCTCTAGAGCAGAGAATAAATGAGTTATCTTTCATTTTATATCTTCACTATTGTATTTCTGATATTACTAATCATGGCTTTTATCACAATTTGACATATTTTTTATTTACATATATTCTGAGGGACCAATATAAAAAATGACTAAATTGAGATGCACATATGATTTTGCACATACGCTTGCAAAAAACTTTCTAACGTGAGGCAAACATATAAAGTTTATTATGTAAAGGTTTTTTTAACAATTACAAAATTTAGAAAAATTAACTTTGCGAATTATCATCACTATTTATTATTATCGAACAAATTTTTTAATACATTTTATAAAGATATGGTTTTTAATCTAAAGACATAAAA